TTTCCCATTGATGGGAACTTGAGCCTTCTATTGCATTACTGAAATGGGGACTACACAGGGGTAAAGGGGAGTGATGGGTGAGTCTACAAGCCAGGGCAGGGAAGTCCAACACTTTAACTTGAGCACTTAAATCAAACTGTTCCCCAGCAAATGTGTTCATGCTTAAGGGTGTTCTGAGGCCAAGAAGAGCCTCTGTGTGAACATGAATATTCATACTCCGGGGCCCTGGAGCATAATTATTACACTGTAATACAAGAAAAGACCATTCATTTGGATTTCTGAGTGCCAGTGAGTGTTTTATATTTAAATTTAATTTTTCCTTATGCCAGAAAATCTGTTTATGTTCTCACTGGGGAAAGGCCCACAAAGCTCATTTCACAAAACCAACGGGTTTTTCTCTCAGGCAGCTTTCTTGTGAGAGCTGAAGCAGGGAGTGCCAGGCTTCAGTGCGATCTGCCTTCCCCGAGTACTTAAAACTCCTTGACCACACAATCAGGGGATAATCCTGAGAGATTTAATCCCGGCAGATGCAGTAATTTGGAATGTTGCTATCATTGTCCTCCCTGCAAAATACAAGAGGACAATCACTTTCTTCCTATCAGATACAAGAGGACAATGGCTTTGTCACAGTGACTGAGATCTTATGTGTTAGCAACTGTCATACAATATCAGCATAAGACTAGACCTTGGTTTGAACTCCAAAGTATTCAATCTTCAGCCAAAATACAAGATTCCTGAAGGATCTTGGGAGGATGCAGAGCCAGGGAATGTGAGTTACACAGACCATAAAAATGGCTCTCACCATTGCATGGAGGACACCATAAAAGGTTTCCAGGTCTAAGCCAGTGACCTCAAGGGACACAGAAGGACCTGTCTCTAATAATTCTATCTACACAATAAAAGAGAGTTAATTATGATCAAGATCTCCAGTCATAGCAGAGCACAATTCTATCTTCCTTACTTCCACTCCCAGTATTCCATACTCTTTGGGAGCCATTTCTAAGGTTGTAAATACCACAAAAGAACTCTCTGGATGGGAAAGCAGGCTGAACATCGTCAGCAGTTGGTCATAAAATGGTGGATAATTTGTCATCACTGAGTCAAAAACCGTGATCCTCTTACACACACAATAATGGAACACACAGAGCATGCTTTGTTAGCCGCGAGAGCCGAAGCCTCACAGAGACCCAGGAGCCCCGGGTTCTTGTGTGCAGCAAGGCGCACCAACGGCCAACACCAAGTCCACGAGAAATCAGACTGGGGGCTGTATGGCTCTCTGTTTCATGTCTCATGGGTCACACCCTCCGTGGCACCTTCTATGGAAAGTGTTCGAGATGTCCAAGGAAAAGCCCTAAGCCTCAGTAGCCTGAGTGCCCAGGAAACATCCTGCTCCTATTTCCTATGAAAAACACAAATTTTGAAGAAAATATGTGCTGGACTCCTCAGAATCACCTTCAGCTTCTGATTTAGACTCAAGGTCTCATATCTCAGTTGCAGTCACTTTCAAAGGGTAACACGGGGACATCTTAAAACACAGCCAAGACTAACAAGAAGAGCAGGGTGCATTCAGAATGGTGGCCCTTAATGCTTTCCGTGCATGGGCTCTTGCTTTAGAATCAAGAAGAGACTACAGGGCAGCGGTCCCTGCAGCAACCTTAGTCAGACCACAGACGTGCCTTTTCCTAAACTTTATCCAGGGCTCTCGATTAGGAGCCTGGCTACTCATTTTATCTTATGTTAGTCTTGCTATGGGACACGCAGTGAGACATGGTGTGAAGGAATTGCAGAGTGCGGTTAATCAGGAAAGAGGACACACTCATTCTCCACCCTGGTGCTGCCAGTGGCTAAGACATAAAAGACAGAGATGTTCTCTTGCCATAAAAACAAAGGGATGAGCTGAACAGAAATATGCAGTTGGTAGACTCTTCGCTCTTGCAATGGTCATTTTGGGTTTTATCCATACATGATGGCTGCGTCATCTGTTCCTGTTCATTAGTTTGCCAAGGCCTTGACTTTGGAAATGTGCCTTTGTCTACTCATCACGTCTTTGAGTGAGTGAGTTACCACACCCGTATCCTAAAAGGGGTGTGTTAGAGAATCTTGGTGGACACAGACAGCTGACCCCAGGTCCCCCTTGTCCTTTCCCCACATAAGAATGTGATGGGGGGCGGGGAGATTTCTAGAACACACCTTTGTATCCTATAACCTGGCAGGATGACACAATGCTGGAGGAGAAGTCCCCTCACTGAAAACAGGGAACCCCAGTAGTATGGATAAATGGGCCAAGTTGTCTTCTTCCTGTCTTTGGGTGGACCTTGGTGACCCCAATCCTCTCTCATACCAGTGCTTTCTGAGCTCTCTGCTCCTAGGTGGATGCCTGCCCATCTGGAGGAGGCTTTCTCCTTAAGGAAGGTAAAGTAACTCTGGGATAGTGTCAGAATATGAGTTTTAAAGTTCAACTGTCAGCTCTTTCAGAAACAGTCTCCTGGGTACAGGTGGAGGCTGTGTCTGAAGGAGACTGAAGAAGGATAGTCAAGCCTTTGTTTTTAAACTTGAGAACATCTCTTCCCTAAGCCCGCAGAATCTCTTAGGCACTATGTTGCTTTAGGCCAGTATTTGCTAAGCTCATAGGCACAGAGCAGCAGGGCAGGGAGCAGTCTGGCAGTGTAGACATTACCTGTGATGTCTTTAAGGCTTTCCGTATCCCCAGCCCTCTCTGAATTCACGGAGGAGTGTATACAGGACACTAAGTTCCCTACTATATCATGAAGTGAGGTAACGTTCTCTAGGTTGAAAACATGCATACTGAGCGGTTCGCTGGCTATTTCTCTTAAGGCTCTTTCATCTGCATCCTCAACTCCAACTGCAAACACGTTAACGTCCGCAGACTTAAGTTCCGCTGAGGGCAGAGCGAAGCCGTCCTCTGATTGTCCATCGGTTAACACTATGATAACCTGAGGGACTCCAGCAGCGGCCCGGCTTCCAGAAGCCTCGGTGAGGTGGCTGTGAATTATGTATTCTAATCCTTTTCCCGTATGACTGCTTCCCCCAATGTAAGACATGTTCAGAATATGAGAGAGGACTTCTTGCTTAGTGTGGTACGTATTTAACAGGAACTCGGTATGTGGGTTTCCGTTGAGCCGGACCAGAGCAAAATGGAAATCATTGTCTCCCACAGCTAAAGACTCTACAACATCAGACAGAAACTCTTGAACGAGCAGGAAACGGTCCTTCCCAGCACTCCAAGAGGAATCCACTAGAAACACTATGTCAGCAGCCGCACCGTTTCTGACATCTTTAAAAAAAGACATTGGTTCAGGTTTTCTCACTGGCACAAACAATGACCTCCTACAGATGCACTTCCTCCTAGATAAGCTAAGCAGATCCTCTGCTACTGCCAAGTAGTACACCAGGCTTGCAATGAAGGAGGACTTACCTTCAGAGCAGAGCCAAGAAAGGGGATACAGCTGCTGCTACACCCAGCAGTAGTCCAAGTCCCATAGTGAGTAGTCCCAAATCAGGGGCCAGCAGAATATTCCAGAACAGGAGAAACAGCTCAGCATGCCTTTGAGCTGAGACATGACTGTTTGTGACAATCTGACTGCCCCCCCACCCCACGTCCACCTGACCAGACCAAAGGGATTTCATGTCATTGGCAAACAACCATCACTGGCAGCTCGCTCTTCCGTGTGGGGTAGAAAGTGACCCCGATAGGGATAGAAATAGCCCATTGGTTCAAATGTGACAAGCAGTTCTATAAGTGGAGAAAATCATGGCTACTTAGAAGGAGAAGTCTTGTTTTTCTTGGATTTTTGAACGTGAAGAGGAGCTCTCTAGCCAGTTACTATATTTTCAGAGCATAGCAGACTGCCTATACTCTGAGCAGTAACACACTTGGTCAAGGCTGATCATTTCCCCCACATTTATAGGAACCCTGGGGCCAAGCCATCAGTGGCCCTGGGAGGAACCTTCAGAAGCTGCGGTCAGGCTGCCTCTGAGACTCTACTTACCTTAGGTTTCCCTGGGAGGCCCTAAGTCTTGCTGGTCTCCCACTGAGGAAGGCTACCTTCCCCTCCATCTAAGGAACCCAGCCCTGTCGAAGGCCCAGTACCCCTTGGCTATGACAAGGAGGCTCCCAACCCATCAAGGACTCCTGGGTCCAACACAGGAAGCTTATCTTGCTACCCTAAAATTTTGAAAGCAAATTCTTGATGGGGCATTAGGGTCTGTTGTTTAAAGCTGTTTAGGGAAACATCGTTTTTAAAGAAACAATAGTTCCATGTATACCGTCATTCTGTGTCTGGAGTTAGAGATGGGAAAGGATGGGTGTTGTTTTGTTTTGTTTCTTAAGAAAATAATTCTTATCACAATGATTGTCTTCTTCCTGCAAACCAGTACCAGGGATGTGGAGAAGTCCCCCAGATGGTGAGCCATGGGATGGAGACACTGCTAAGACCCAATGTAAAGATAATTCTGCTCTCAAGCAACTCAGGATTTGAAACTGGAGTTTTAAAGTCACCTTGCCCTGACACAGCGTCTGAAAGGCCTGCAAAGCCTGTCCACACCCAGTGACATGCACTGCTCTGTCTGTCATGACTCTCGACACTCCCAGGCCTTATGTCAAGCTCTGGGTGGCTAAGATCTAGAATCAAGCAATCAACACTAGTATTTTTTTTTTAGTAAATTTAAACCTTACCTGATTGTTGTTGGGCATGAGTCATGGCAATGCCTGAGAGGAGGAGGCTAAAGAGGGCCACTAAGGGCAAATGCCGGTGTTTCCTCATTTTGAATGTCTTAGCACCAACCGTGAACCTAAAGGAAAGGACAGGGTGAAAAGAAAGATCAGTGTTTAGCTCTCAGACTGCAAAATTTCCCAAAATCCGTTGCTTTCTGTGTCATGTTAGGCTTCTGAACAGGTTCGTGTGTGATTCATTCTTTGAACAAGCAGCAAATGGATAGATGATAAGAAGAAGGGAGTAGGGACAGACAGGAAGACACAGACAGACACATCATAATGACATCCTGTTGGCAAAAGCCTACAGACAGCAGTAGTCCCTCAAGGTTTATTATCTAGTAATGTTACAGTTCTCTTATGATGCACTCTGATGCTCCCACAAGGATGGAGCCACATAGTACAATTCTCGGAATGGGTCCCCATCATTGAGTGACACATGACTGCATACCACACACACACACACACACACACACACAGACACACACACAGACACACACACATACACAGACACACACACACACACACACACACACACACACACAGACACACACACACGCTGCAGACTCCGCTACTGCAGACTAAAGTAGAAAGATTAGAAATTTACAAACACAACAACACTCTGAATAAGTCCAAGGCCAACTTGAGCAATTCACTGAGATCCTTTGTCAAAATGAAAAATGAAAAGAGAGCCAGAGATACAGCTGGTGATAAAGCATTTGTCTATCGAGTGTGAGATCGCTTGGTTCAGTCCCCATTTCTACAAATAAGCTGAATGTCAAGAAGGAGAGCATGGCAAACAAGAGGTAGGTAGATGGATCTCTTCCCAAGGGACCACCGACTGTGTTATTTATTTTAGAATATATGTATTTATGCGCCTAAGTGAGGGGGGGCGTGCCTGGGTGTGTGTATGTGTGCATTCAGGAGCCACTGGAAGTCAGAAAAGAGTGTCAGACCCCCTGGAACTGGATTTACAAATAGCTGTGAGCCACCACCTGAGTGCTAGGAACAGAACCTGAGTCCTCTGCAAGGGCACTCAGTGCTCTTAGCGCCATGTTTCCAGTCCCAGGACCTCAGACCCTTGCCGATAACAGGGCACAGAACTCCTTGTGGTTTGGCTTCCCACTTGGAAGCCCTGGACATTTTTTAAGCTTGAGGACAATTTTATTAGAGTTTAAGAATAAAGCCATAGAGCAAGAAGGCTGTGTATCTCAACTGATGCCAGAAGAAGGGAAATGGAGACAAGGAAAAGAGGAATCCAGTGTTTGCAATAGTAATGGACAAGCACCCACTAGGATGGGACTTAGCCTCTGACTAGTATCCGAAAGGGGGATCGAGGCAAGTTAAAAGAAGGTCGTCCCTTTCTGAGTCCAAACTGAGGAAAGTGAAAGGTCAGAGTCACAATGCTCTTTCTACCACAGTGCTCTCTTCCATGGTCTCCCTCTACTGTAGCTCTCTCTACCATGGTGTACTCTCTACCACAGTGCTCTCTCTGCTGCAAGTCTCTGCACTGAGAGGATTCTGGAAAGGAAGCATGCACCATTTCATCATAACCCCACCTCATCTCAGGCTGGCCATTCCCAAACACCATGTGAGAGGAATAGTTCTGTTTTCTTAATGGACCTTCAGAGTACTCTCCTCGTAGTCTAGAACACTGTATCCAATTGCTAAGTAACGAGTTAAGTGGGCACCCTCTTCTGGAAAGTAGTGTGAACTAACCCTGTAAACAAGACTCTCTTGCTCTAATGACTGCATCCGTCAGCCGCAGTTAGGAACTACATAACTAAGCCTTCTTCCAAATTGAGGCAGGCAGCAGCTTGAAGAGCACATGCTCCAAAGGAAATGGACTGCTGAAAGAGGCTCAGGAGCAAAGGGCTCCCGTGCACAGATAGTGACAGGTGACAGGAGACAGGATTGCAGAGGCTGTCTCTTTTCCACAGGATGCTTACCTTTTCCACAGGAATAGGCTCTGCCCAACCAAAAGCAGTGAGGCCTGTTTACAGCTCTGTCTTTTCCTTCCTTTCTAGCCAGCATTTTCCCTGCTGTGTGCCACCCTCCAATCTCATCATCACAGAACAAACCCGAAGAGATTTAGTTTGCATGGCAATGAAGCCAGAGCTGAAGGCAGACTGCTCATTACCTGGTTTCCCATCACGCACCAACCAGTGGCTGCAAATGTGACTTCCAGGTAAACAAGTTCACGTTCAGAATGTTCAATAGCCCATGCCATCAGGCTTGCCAATACCTTCTCTTCCCCCTCAGGCTTCACACCAGCCTCCTCATCCTCCTGTCTCCAATAATGAATCAGCTTAAGGCTGGAGTCTTCCCTCAAGACTCCTGCACAGAGCTGCCCGGGTGTTTCTGTCTAAGCTGAGGTTTCCCTACCTCTCCTTTTCTTCCTCATGACCTGAGGCACTGATCCCTGTCATCGGGGACCCATGGCCTTTGATGATGGGACTCAGCATCTCCCAATGAGCAACTGGGAAGGCTAGAAGGCCCAGGTGAGCAACAGTACTTCAAACAGGCCCAGGAGAGGGACCAGAGCCAAATACGTCATTAATGTTAGTTCAGATTCTCACTTATTTTTCTTTCATACGGAGTTTGAGAACATGCTGTTTGACCCTGGGAATCATCTAGAATAGTCTGTCACTAAAGCAGAACGTCTGTCTGGTTTAAGAAACTGAAAACATTTAATCTAGGAACATTGAGCTTGATTTTTACTATGTTAAAGTTAAAACCTTCCTTTTCAATTAGACAGAAAATGTATCCTGCTGTATCCTGCAAATATGTATTGCTTTTATTGGTTGATAAATAAAGCTGATTTGGCCTATGGCCAGGCAGAATACAGCCAGGCAAGAAAGCAAAACAAAGATGTGAAGAAAAAGAAGGCAGAGTCAGAAAGAGGACATGTAGCTGTCAGGAAGTGAGATGGGAGGTAACAAGCCAGGAGCCTGTTAATTTAATTGAGAGAGCTAGTCAGTAATATGCCTAAGCCATTGGCCAAACAATTACAATTAATATTAGCCTCAGAATGATTAATTAATAAGCAGCTGCAGGGACCAGGGGGAGGAAAAGAAAACATCCTGCCACACTATTAGGGTTTTTAAATGTCAAAAGAGGGTCTTCCAGTGAACTAAAAATCTAACTGCATCCATCTTGCATCAGTGTGGACAGTAATTCAGGACCTCCCTTCCCATCTGCTCTCTCCTGGTTTGCAAATGCATGACAGATTTTCAATTTTAAAATCTTATTCTATTAAAAGTCCAAATAATTGTAAATTGCTTCTACATCCCCTACCTTGGGAATAGTTTGAGTCTGCCTGTGGGGGACAAGGAGAAAGGAGAACACCTATGGGTATATGAGATGTGTGATGTTGTTTGCACAACAGCTTTCACCACTGTGTGGTTAGGACAAGATTCCGGGAGAGAGACCTGCAAGGTGTAAGGGAAAGAGGATACCAAAAGTTGGGTAACCTGGAATAATCTGTTGTTTCCAGAAATACACAACCTGCCAAGATTATATTTAAAAACTATTTTAAAAAAACAAAACTTTGAGCTGACATAGCTGCTGTGGAATTTGAGTCAGCTGCCAAACCCTCCTGAAAGTAAGGCTCAGGAGT